GGACACTAGCATGACATTGTATCTCTCATAAGCGGTATCAAAATAATAAGAGAGTATAGATTAAGATTTTGATTGAAATAGGTGAAAAACAGGTTAAATTTTGTCGAAAGATAACTTAAAAGATGAAATTTAGATTAAAATTATATTGTTATTTGCACTTTAGGGTAATATATATACAAAAAAATAGTTTACAGTAGGCAATTAGTTGGATGTAGTGGAAAGATTTAAATATAAAATATTTAAAAATCAAGCAGTAGATTAGTCAAAAAGGTTTAAAATATTTGAAAAGTAAGTAGTAATTACACGGAAATACTAAGGACATCACGTGAAATTCAAGAAATTTGTTACATTTTTGAAAAAAGTATAAATATAGGATATAAAATGTTTTTTTTTTTTTTTTTTTTTTTTAAAAGCAACTGATAGATCAAGACTACTTAGGTTGGTGAAAAGGACTGGATACTCAAAGCTGTTATGGTAAGGTGTATTAACAATATTATTTAATTTTCTGTGTTTCAAATACTTATTTTGACTGAGAGATTGTTTTGGAGAGGCAGAAATATCCTTATTAATGGATCTTTACATTCGAAATCAAAATTGCAAAGATCCATAAGGATATTTCTTAGAGAATTGCCAAACAGAGTTGAAAGTCTGCTCTAGTAAAAACTAGGGCATCGTCTGCTAGTGTTGACACAACATATAAAGGAATGTATAGGCTATTATTACTACTGTTTTAAGCTATAGGGTTATAGAGACTAGTCCATACTGATGAATTAAGATGGTAGGTACTTTAAAAACATGTTAAAATATATAAAAGGTATATATATACACTTATAAAATAAAACTATGAAAATTCAATGTTAATTGAATTGTCAAGAGTGATATTAATAAAACAAGAAGGTAGAATAAACTTTTGGATAAAAGCATGTCTGGGATAAAATTGTTTCAAATAGATTAATGCATTAGCTAAAATATTTTTATATAAAAGGACAAGATCTATATTGCATTGAGGGTTTTCTATATGCAGGTTCCTTCTAATATAAATAGTCTGCCTTGCACAGGATAAAATTATGTTTAAAAGTTCCTTTGGAATGGATTTATTAAAAGATTGAAGTCCAAAAAGGATAAAGCATTTAAAATCATGGTAAGTAAAACTAAACGGTAAAATATCAAGCAACATTTGTTGAATAAGATATGTAAAAATGCTAAGATCTAGGCAGTCGACGAAGAGATGTTCCGTGGATTCAGGCTCATCATTGCAAACTGGGCACATCTCTCCATCGACTTTACCTATTCTTTTAAGTTTAACCATGTTCCATATGACATTATGGGCAATTTTAAAGTCTAAGTTGATCATTTTTGGTGTTTTATAGTTGTTAAAGATGTTAGCCCATGTAACAGGCCAATTGATTTCCAAATTTTGCTTCTCCCAATATTTGACTCCAGTTGGAATTACATCTTTTAATTTTATCAGTGCTTTGTAGCAAAATTTGGAAGTCAATTGGTCATATGGAACATTGTTACCACTAATATTAAAGGAATTTTCACCAGTATGGACTACAAATGAACAAAAGTTGATAATGTCTGTCCATTTTTGTGGTAATGACTGCTTGATGTGATTATAGGTCTCTATAACCCTGTCTTTATTTAAATCAGGGAATTTTTCCTCTAACATGTCAATAATAGAA